ATCGCAGCTACCTGGTAGTTAGCATGTGCTTTACTAGCTATACTCAAAAAATTCCCTAGACTAGATAAACAAGATATAGCGAAAGCAATTTCAAAATTCTTTTACATATTGATAACACCCCGTATAGTGTAAACAATGACTTCATAAAAGATTTAAAAGTAAATACCTGGTGGAGGTACTACAACTCCCGGTTGTGCTGTTATAGGAGCATATTGTCCATTGAAATTTGTTTGGAAACCACTATTATCCACATGAGGTTGACTTCCATCAAAACTTTGATTGTAATAAAGTGACATGGCATGCAATTTTTAATCAGATTACCTTGTTCTGATAATAATAATTATATTAAAAAAAATAATGTTTTCTAATAAAAGTTCACCAGTAGTAAATTTAAAAAAAAAACTACAATGTTATATACATATATATATATATATCCAATATTTACGTACAATTAAATTCACTAAAAATTTAATTGAACAATAATAATAATTTTAATTTCACTATATTCAATTAATTTTTTTTAAGTTATTATATTTCATACTAACACGAAATTTAAGCAAATATTATTTTTATTTTTGTTCTTTCCGAATTACTCGCGCTGTGTTCAATCAATGAAACATCCATAACGACTGCTCTATGCTTCTGACCGGCCATGTAAACGAGTTTGGGCTTGGCAAGAGTATACAGGGTCAAATAAGGGTGCAGTATCATTGTTAAAAAAGTTATTACTTATCATATCAATTATACTATCCTGTAAATATTTCTGCAATATATCAACTTCAGAAGAATTCGCTTTAGCTAAATGCGTTTTGTTATTGCATCGTACAACAGGTAATAGAATTTAATTAATATTTATTGTTTTGAACATGACTATAAGCAATTATAATAAATACCAAACTAGCCACTCTACTAAGTACATCACATATATTAAGCTGATGAAACCCCGAACAACTATAATATTCCAGAGTAATAATTAGCAAGTACATACCGCAATAATTATACGTACAATTTACATGAATAATTCTATGCATTTCTAAATAAATTCTTTTTATGCCCGGAAATTAGCAAAATTATTTCATTATAAAAATAATGTTTATATTAATGTTCTGAAGCTATATGAAAATGTGCACGAATCGCAACCTATGGTTTCTAAATGTATGTATATTAAATTAAAATTTATAGATTTGAATTTCATTGATTTTTGAACTCAAAATTTTTGCTATTGCATGTTTTTACATGAGCGATGTATATAAAGTGTTACCTAACTATTTGGTTCTGCTATAGTGTGAACTGAGACCCCACAGCACGTATCAGAAGTATACCATGCACTGATATATGTACATTTGTGCTAGACGAAAGTACCTGAGATCATATATAATACAAGGCAAGGGATTGTTAACGCTAAAACTATCCGATGAATTTTTTACAATAATAGCGCTGGATATAGCATATCTAAATATAATTAGCTTATACAATATATACTAACTGTTATTGGTAGTCATGTTACTTACCACCGACAAGAAAGGTGGTCTTTTCAGGCAAAAAGAGAAGGAAGCAAAAAGACGCGAATACGAAAAGCATGAGAAACTGGATGACAAGAACAAGTCTCGAAAATTCTATCAGAAAACCAAATGCCTAACAAAAGGTTATAAGCTGGGAGTTAATTTCTGGAAAGACCACAATGATAAGCTGGTGATAGATGTCCTTAGCATGCTTAATATTTGAATGGATCACTACTCGAACCTACTAAATGGCAATAGTAGTAATGTAATCGAAACCAAATATGATCTCGAATCTACTACATGGCAGTAGTAGTAATGTAACCGAAAGCAAATATGATCTCGAATTTTCAATCATTGATGATGAAATAATCGTCCAAATCATAATTAACTTAAAACAGATAAAATGCGGCAACATTTTAAAACAACAAAACTGTAGCCTTCGATGGTTTACCCCCGAACTGTTTACGAGTTCGTAAAACTTTTGGCGAAGACCTATTAAAATGCATGCAACAACTACTTCACAAAATATGATCGGATGAATGCATGCCCAACAAATACTTTGCCAGATTTACAAAAAAGGTGATCCTACAATCTGCGCCAATTATCATGGGATCAGTCTTTTAAATATCGTATACAAAGTTCTGTCAAACGTTTTATGTGAAAGATTAAAGCCAATCGTCAAAAAAATATTTGCACCTTATCAGTGTGGCTTCTGACCTGGCAAATGACAGTGCGTCAAATCATGGACAAGACCCATTAAAAGCAAATGTCGATTTTGATTTAGTCGCTTTTGACACTACGGCTAGAAGAACTCTTTATGCTGCTATTTATCAATTTGGTATCCCTGTAAAACTTACGCGACTTATGTAAAATGAGTTACACTATCAGCTTTGTTAGAATCGGGAAGAACCTCTTAAAGTAGCTTAGTTTCAGAAAGGGTAACTTTTTGGCGTGAAACTAATTTAACATAAGGTTGGAAACGATACAGATGTAAGATTAAATCCGTTTTATGTCACCCGTAATAATTGAATACAAAAATGTTTTTCTTTTGCTCGTCTTCGCACTTTGGTGGTCTATCAGAGCCCTCGCTGCAATTCACATAGAAATTACTACTTTGAAATTGTCGATACCATGTCTCACATGTTCTACTTGATGAACCTGGTGCAGCATAAGTTTCTAGCAGCAACCAATAACATAATTCAACATGATCACAACTTGTGTATTTTTGTAGTACAGAATTAGACGAACAAAAAGACGAATGAGTCAAATTAGCACGCTGTGTACTTTTTGCTGTAACTATCTTTTCCACCTGTGGATGAGAGTACATAATATTCACGAGGTAAGGTATGATGTCTACAGAAACGACTAAAATTCCGACACTATCCGACACTTTTTGGAGTGTAAATGATAGTGAGAGTTTTCCACTGGCGTCACCCGACCGGGGGTGGTCAGTCCCCGTAGCTGCGACTGTCCTAACCGATTGATGTTGACAGCGGTAGTAGCTATGGGTATAACCCAAATTTTCGAGGAATCACTGGGTGCTGTGATCCAAAGATCAGCAAAGCTTAGATGGGCCCCCTTTCCTTAACCAGAGCGTTTTCTTCAGATGCGATGTCAACTACATTACATGAAAACTATAAAGACAAGTATGGTTTATACTCTATACTCTATACTAATTAGTAGTAGACAATACAATAAAACTTATAGTTGCAATACTTAATACACTTCTTTTTTATGTTACATTGCAATACAGTCTATAAATAAATAAATAATATTTATTTTAATGAAATATCTAACCATCTTTCGGCCAATAGTAAGCGCTTATAAATTTGCTGCTGAAAATAAACTGATTCAAGTCATTTGTAATAAATACAGTTGTGGAACATAGCTAGTGAATAAAGTAAAGAAATACAGTCCTCACTCTTATTACTAATATGTATATTCACAAAGAATTAGATGATTCTTGTATAAAAAATGTCTTCCTAAAATATAGTTATAAACACCTTAAACGATTGATTACCAAATCTGTCGTAGCTGTGGGGAGGACGATGAGAGCACATCTCATCTTTTGTGTTTTTGTCCAGCTTAGGCACGTCGTCAATTTAGTACTTTAGGAGCCCCCTTCCTTGAGAACCTGGATCAGTTACAGGATCTGGCTTTAAATAGCATTCTATGCTTCACAAAAGGTTCTAGGTGGTTTTAAACCCTGAGGTTTTTATTATTTATATACGGCATCACTATGGGCCAATAGGCCTAAGTGGATCCACTGGGGATCACCGGTATAACCTATCTTAACCTAAACGATTGATTACCATATAACCCAGTGGTTGCTCCTCTATTAGATGATACTAGTGATATTCCAAAGTTAAGAAAAGAGATCAGCCTTTCCGCCAATAATTAATCAAGTTATTATAAATGAACGGGTTTAATGGAGCACATTAATTTAAATTAATATTACATAAAATTTGTTTAAAATTTTATATGTTTTAAATAAAATATTACCATTAACAAAAGAAAATACATTTATTTAAATTTATTTAAAGGCAGTTTTATTTTGTACTTTAAGTTCAAATTTACATCAAAGGTAAATTTATTTTGTACTTTCCTTTTGTACCACATCTGAATAAAATGCATCTATTTAAAAGGCACATAAGACATTGGAGTGAAGTGAATTAATTAATTTAATTACTCTGCTCAAAATATGTCATATCCTATAAAAAAAAATATGTGATTAATATTTAAAAAAAAAATTATATTTATCGAATCTTTAACACCTTTCACATATAAAGAAATATTCAAATTTAATTAGGTAAAATCAAATATCCATTTGTTGGACGTTTTTAATAACAACCGTCCTCCAACCAAATTTCGATTCACATACAAATTAAACTCTCTTAACCGGTACCTCATTAATAATAAGCTTTGATCCATTATAGATTACTTGTCTTCGCTGACAAATGCAAATAGAATTAAAAAATATTAAGATATAATGCGAATCGCAAAATTACATTAAAATACTGTGAAGGAAATTTTTTTTAAATTTAATTACCTCTGTAATTTAGTTTTCATTTGAGAAATGTTTTCAAAAATTATTTTTTAATCATTTGATTTCCTCAAGAACTTAATAAATTTGTTCTTCATCGTTGTGAAAGGTATTAAGAAACAATAAGAATTTTTTAATTCATATTACTATTAGAATGGTTGCACCCATAAGTAGTGCTTTCGAACGAACATCCAAGTCCAATGGGAAAGTAACCCCAAAGTTATCAGCATCAGTAAAAAATTCACGAGTGAAACCGCCCCATTTCTTTGCAATTTTTCCAATTGCTGTACCATCGAGTGAGAGGACCTACAAAAGATTATTAGAAAAATTAGAATGTGAAAAAAGAAATAATATATAAACTGGATAATTCATTTATAACAATATATCCATTGAATACTTACATTAAATACCACATCACTTCCGCAACTAGCTAAACAAGATTGACCCTCAATACGTAATATATTTTCATTATTCTCATTTACAATGCGATAAGCTGGTGTGCACCATCCGGCCCAAGCCTGTTCAACACGTCCAATCAAATTTCCTGGTGGTGCCGATACTTCGATACTTTGCGTACAACCTTGCGAAAAAAATTTTGCACACATCCATGGTCGATAGAAGTGCAATACTTCATTCTGAAAGTTATCGAAAACTTTCATGTCAAATGCACGCGATTTACCAATACAGTTGCGAGCCCACCAATTACTTTCCTCTTCAGCATGGAAAATTTTTTGACCGAGTGCATTTAAAATAACATATCTATTATTAGTCTCCACACCAACTATAGCTTCAAGAGTTTCAACTTTTTGATTTACCATTAGCTGATCAATAGCTGTCAAATATTCCAAACCAGGTGGACAGCCCGGTATCTTAGCCGGAGCGCTAACCAATTCTTAAATATAATATAGTTTTTATTAATAGATATATGACATCATTATATGAATTTTATTTTCTATATTACATTGTTAGTATTATTATTACGTTAGATTGTTAGTATAAGTATTACGTTAGATTGTTAGTATTATTATTAAGTTAGATTGTTAGTATTATTATTATTATCAAAATTAGTAGGTTAATGGCATTCAAAATGTAATCACTACTTTAAAAAGTTTCAAAACATATTTTTTATATTTTTTAACAAATTTTACATTTCACTATGTGTTTTTATAACTTAAATTTTTCACAAATTATTTTTAAAAATTTTTTAAATAAAGTTTTTAGTTAAATAAATAGAAAATTATTTTTTAAATGAAAGTGCAAAATATAAACAGATACGTATATTTTTGTAAAAAATATTATTATTATTATTATATCACAGTATAAACATTCGGTAATGTTGGCACAAACACTACAGAAACTATTAACGCATGTCCAAATTTTCCAACAGAACGAAAAATAATTTACAAAAAAATTTCCATATTATCCAGATTTTTAAGAGAATCAATCAACAACCGATAACATATATATAAATAACCAGGCATACATATGAAAATATATTATAGGAAATAAGTTGGAACACAATATGGTTAACCATAAAAGTCATATATAAACATAAAATGTCGATTGTTATATAAAACTCAAAATTGTACTTGCCAAAACTAACAGATAACTACCAATTTCTAGATAATACTTTTTCTACAACACTAAATTAATAAACAATAAAAGACATCTCAATCTCCTGACCTTAAACACACCAATATTCTTGTCTAAAACATTGATTATGAATATTTGCTAAACACCAAAACACCATTACGAAAAAAATTCTTCATCTGCCTGTCAGATATATAAGTTTATATATATGATAACACATCTTATTGTAACTCTACCAGCGACAGATCAAAGACTATTCCTTTCCCAAATAAGCACATCTTATCTTAAAGACTATATTAATTATATATATAGTCTTATTAATTGACGTCTTTTAGAAACTAACGTGATATAAGTTTCAGAAAAAAATTTAATTTTCCCTGAAGTAGTACTTTAACAAAACCTATCAATAAATTTTAGAATCGAAAATTTTTCAATATAAACAAATAAATAAATTTAAGCTAAAATTTTTAGTTCTTAATGATGCTGTTGTAATTGTGGTTTTTTGTAATTACACCTTTATGTTAACATTAAACAATGAATTAAGTTCCGATGTTCTTACTTCTCAATTACTAACTATATAAAATTATATATTTTATTTTAATAATTAAATGTTTTAATGAAATTTTTTTTTTTATTTTTTATTTTATTTTAAAATTTGTTTTCTTAGTTTACTAAAAACTTCTGTCAAATTGATATCTTGAATGTGTACCTTCTGCTCAAAAAGTCGGATTTTGTAAATAAAACACACAAATTTAAATTTTATTCCAAATTTATTTTATCTCCTTCAAAATATGCTCCTTCTGAAGCAATACACATATGCCAACGCTTAACCCAATCTTCCATACACTTTTCGTAAGCCCGTGAAGGTATGGCTTTTAGTTCAGCGAATTCTCTTTCTCTTTTCTCTTTTATCGACTCAAAACGCTTACCACGAAGGGGCAATTTGAGTTTTGGGAACAGGAAAACGTCGCACGGATCCAGATCTGGCGAATATGGTGCCTGAGCGCTGACAGTGGTGCCGTGTTTGGTCAAAAAATCGCGTACAACAAGAATTTTCCATAGTAAAACTCGCTAAATGCACTTGAGGTAGTCTCACATTAACAGCTGCTGTAAACAAACTAATTGATAGATGGTGCTCAAATTTGTATCAATTTTACCCTTTCTTGGGTGTACCAACATAACAAAAATTTTTGAAAAGAGTCTATTACTTAAGGAGTAGTTAACAAACAACAAAATCCGGACACTTTTTGAGCAGAAGGTACCGCGTTATCACAAAATGCCTTAGTTTTAGAAGTAATATTTTATATTAAAGTTTTTAAAGTAGTAAAAAAATTAGTTTTTCTGGCTTGGTCTTCATAAATTATCGAAAAGATAGACGAAATGTGTAGAAGTCAATACTGAACATTTTAAATGAAACCAAATTAATTGCCCCTGAAATTTAAGTGATGAAAAACCAAAACGGACCAAACCCATAGCAAAACAAAATACATTTATTTAAATTTCTTTAAAGGCAATTTTATTTTATTAAAATTGACATCACACGTAAATTAATTTTGTACTTTTCTTTAAAAAGTACAATCCCTGAGTAAAATGCACTAGTTTAAAAGGCACATATGACTTTTGAGTGAAGTGGATTAATTCATTTAGCTCTCAAAGTGCATCATATCCTACAAAAAGATATGTAATTTAGATTTAAGGGAATGAATAATGTGAAGAAAAGTTAATTACGTTTTCACTGAATCTTGAATACCTTTCACAAACAAAGAAATATTATAATTTTATTAGGTACAGTGAAAGCTCCGTTTAGTGGGCGTTATCCTAATTAGGTTTCATTTTACATAGAAACTACATTGTATTGTACGAACAGTTCTCTTAACAAGATCGAATAATTTATCAATTTGGTGCCCAATTAAAAAAGCTTTTACTGTATTGTTATTGTAATACAAATTTTCAGCAGTTTTATTCATTTTATAAATTATTTTCCACCTATTATAGATTATTTTTTTGATTAATCTCCGCTGAATGGTATAAATTCCATGAATCAAATTTTTTTTTATTTCTTTTTTTTTTTTTGCTGCAGAAACATAGATTTCATTGCATCTTCGCTGGCAAGTAGAAATCGAAGTTCAAAAATTAAGATCTTCACAGATAATAGTGAACAAAACAGATACGTCTTTGTCACTATTACACAAATATAATTACCACACAATCTGAATATATTTCTTCTACATAATTGTGAAAGGTATTAAGAAACAATAAAATTTTTTAAATTGATGTACTATGAGAAGAGTTGCAGCAATAAGTAGTGCTTTCAAACGAACATCCATGTCCATTGGGAAAGCAACTGCAAAGTTATCGGCATCTGTAAACAATTCACGAGCAAAACCACTCGATTTCTTTGCAATTATTCCAATTGCTTCACCCTCGATTGGAAGAACCTGTGAAAATAATTAGGAGAATTATTTTGCATAATGTGTGTAAAGAAATAATATGAAAATTGGGATATTCATGGAGTTTGTTACTACATTTCCATTTAATACTTACATCGAATTTTTTAGTCTTTCCGAAAGTAATTTGACCCTCAATACGTAATATTTTCTCATTATTTTCATTTTTAACGCGAAACTTTGGTGTGAACCATGATCCAGCGTTGTTTTCAACACTGCCAATCAAATTTCCCGGTGGTGCCGATACCTCAATACTGTCCGTACAAGATTCCCGGCTGAAATGCAGTACTTCCCTCTGAAAGTTGTCGTAAACTCTCACTTCAAATCCACGATTTTCGCCGCAGCAGTTACGACCGAACCAACTACTTTCCTCCACAGCAAACAAAACTGTTTGACCCAGTGCATTCAAAATAGCATATCTATTATTTGTCTCCCCACCACCCATAGCTTCAAGTATTTCAACTTTTTGATGTACCATTAGCTGGTCAATAACTGCTAAACATTCCAAACCAGGTGGACAACCTGATATCATAGCCGGAGCGTTGACAAATGCTTAAACATAATATATTTTTTATTATTAATTATATTACATAATAATAGCATATGTTATGGAGTTTTTATTTCTCTATTTAATAATAAGCACTACAACAATAATTTACAGTAAGCACTATGATTATAATTAAGAATAAGCACTATTGTGATTCAGCCGTGTTTTTTCTATATTCTACACTCCAACAAAGCAAAGCCAAAAAAAGGACTGTAAAACTGTTATCCACACGTTAACTAGTTGCTTCGAACGAGCTGCTCAAGCGAAAAATATGTTTTTGGGCTTACAAGGGTCGTGTACGATATCACTCCCTCTCCATTGTCTGGGCGTAACAATGTGACGATAAAATTAGGGATGTTAGGGATTTTTGTTAACTGTCTTATAGTCTTATATGACTGTCTTATCCTTCCTGTAGAATTGTCATCAGCTCATCATTGGGTTGAGTTACCTTAAATACTACCTTGAAAGATAGTCGGGCAGTATCGTGTCATAGGTGATCAGTCAAAACTGTACATTTTCTACCTTTGCTCGTGTTTTACGGTTTGGAAAATGTTAAGCAATTCTTTATCATACGTTCTGTGTCGGTTTTATGTCTAGGTAAGATGCTATGACTAAAAACCGAGTAATTCGAAGTGACCACTTCGTATATATTATAATGTTACATCTACTATTGAGGTCCTTGCATCGACATGGAGTACTAGCTTGTCGTCTGTGATTGGGTGTGCTAACGTACTTGCTTCTGCGAATGCATTTTGTTTTGAGTTGCAGCTGATGCGACAACGTACGTTTGACGTATGAAACGTCGATTATAATTGACTGCAGCTAGAAATCGTCTTAACTCCTGAAGAATGTTTTTTATGAAGTCAAGTGTTGTAAAAACAGATTTGTCGCCTAATGTCTGCGTAAAGTCTTGCACATGCCGTATTGGATATCGACACGGTATCGTCTGGTCACATGGGCGCTACATCCCAAATTTTTTTTAACAGAGTCTAATGGGCTAGTTCACTCACTCAGCTATGATTCACATATTCGCATTTTGCGACAATAATGGTACGCGTAACATGATGTTGTACAAAAATTTGATTTACCTTGATTTTGTTGTAAGATGTTGGAATCACTAGCTCTTTGAATGCCATTAGCTGATTTATGAATTTTTGATCAGTGTTCACAGCGAAAATCAATTCGTACTGATGGAACGCAGTTGTATAGGGTACTTTTAATCTAGTGGTATTATCGATAATGCATTTGCGTTTGATATCTACTATAAGACCACAGTTTTCAAGGAAGTCTGCACCAAGAATTCCGTGAACAGGCAGGTTTACGTACTGGAGTCATTCGTCAATTACAACGCCCAAGCTCCGTTTACCATCGCCAAAGAAATTTTACAAGCAGGTATGTGTTTGTATATTATCTATCATTTATATGTGTTTTTACCACTAAAAAGTAAATCCCGACCATTTTGCTTGTTACGTTACTTCTAATGACCAGAATTGAACATAAGTCTGGTGCCTACACACCAACCACTTCGTTCTGGCACTGTTCTGTTTGAAACGTTCAATCTATAGAAACCAAATGTCTGTTAGGTGCAACAGTTGTAATAACTGTTGACACATTTATCTCTTTTCAGTTTTCAGTTTTACATAGCCATACCGATGGAAACCCAGCCTTTAGAGAAGCTTGTTGTCCAACAACTACTTTACACAGATATTCTCGAACTTTGTTAACCCGTACAAGTTTTTTTCTAGTTAATGGCCCCTAATCCTATCCTGGCATCTTTTAGAAACATCGTCACTGTCTGTTGTAACAGTTTTAATAGCTGGTGTTATCTCAGCCCATGATCTAGATTGAACTCGCATTTGGTTGGACTTCAAATTTCATTGACAACTATCGCCACCTATAATTCCATAGTCTCTTTTCTGTTGATAACGCAGACTATCTGAGCTTTAAATTCTGATCACACTCTCATCACAATCTCCATTCCTTCTACCAAGACTCGCACAGAAATTGACATGAAAGCACACCTACACTTCAAAAAAAATTTCGGTGATATTTCTTTGTCCTCTGATTTGAATGAGCCAAGGGTACAATTTTGCAGCATTATCATCAAATCATGAAATAACTCTGTACCCCTTGCCGATATTCTTCGCGGACTAAGCCCAGCTAGTCTCCGCATAGTTATCCTGAAAGACAACATTCGTAAAATGGTGGATGAACATCGCCATTAAAGCATTGTATGGTATAGTTCTTCCCGCCTCAATAACAAAGCGATAATATTTAATGGAATCACACTCCCTGAATCCAAGCATTATGCCCAACAATTCTGGCTTCTTCTTTCCATTAGTTCACAACTGATCCGTTATATATGGAAGACTGAATGAATAATCCCTCTGTTGAAGCCAGGATTCCCAATACATCGGTAAATTCAAAATCTCCACCACCACCAAACCCAAAATCTTGGGTGTCGTAATGTACAACATGTTGATATTCTCGGCACATGAAATGGCGATATCGTCTGAAATCACACAACAATGTGTTGAAAGCTCTCGGAGGTTGCTAATGGGATAAAGATAAAAAAATGCTACTGAACACATACCAATCAATAGGACATCCTATTGCGTTCTATACAGCTCCAATAAAGAGTTTTGAGTCACCTAATTCGTATTTCTGCACTAAACGTCACTCCTTACAATTTTTTTGGTCAGCGTAATCATGAATTAGTTGCTTAGCGTAATCATGAATTAGTTGATTGTTTTATATTTGAAGGAACTGTTACATTGTCTGCAATAGTTTTTAATGCTGCACACCACATGATCGTATACTATTTGATCAATTGTTATAATGGCATTTAAAAATTCAGCCTCCGTTTGTATAAAATGAAATTTTGAATCATGCTTGATAAAAGGCAGTGTTTTAATACCAAATTGGCAAATATCATGCGAGGGTTGGTCGGCACAACTGTCAATACAGAATACAAACTTTTACTTTCACTAATTTAGTAAATTACTAATTCGATTAAATAAATTAATAAAATTTAGTTAGAATTCATACACTGTCAAAAAGGAAATTAAGAAATTGTTTAAAATACTCGTATCAAGATTTTTAAGAATTCACTTCATGCATTTACATACTTTTAAAAGTAAGTACTATGTAAGTAAATATTCTACAGCAGTTAAGATTCCAAATGCCGTTCACCACACCCCACAGGGACCACATAATCCCTGCAGGCTAACAACATGACACCTGCTAAATCCGACCAACCGGATTTAAACGTTTTGTGAAGACAAAGTTAGTTTGCCATATATCCACATTCAATTTGCAATCTTTTATAGGGACACCGAAATGATGACATATTGGTTCTTATGACCGTGTTTTAATAAAATATTGGTCCTGGCTACTAGTTATAACGACCGAATAAAGAAATACTTTTTTTGTCACTCTTCTCATTGGAACATTTAGAGAAAAATTATTATTTAAAACAAACTTTCGTCAACTACGAGGACGCAGAGTATATAAAGTGACCATCAAACAAAAATTATGGGTTACTTTTTTCAGCAGAAAAATAAAAATAAGTAAAATAAATGTACAGATATTGTTTTTTAAACAAATAAATTAGCAGTAATTTAATAATATGTAAATATAAATTATTTGCGCATATTGGTTATAACGACCGGAATAAGTCGGCCCCATTTGAAAGCTCATTCGACAGCTACAGCCATAGCTTTAGCATTCTGTTAATACAAGTGCTATAAAACGACCATATCAATTTCATACAATTATTGACACTATAGATACCAGATTTTTAAATACAAACAAAAATTAACAAAACTACTGAAAT